TCCCAATTAATTGCTATCATAAAGGAATTGTTGTGTTTTCGTTACCTTAAAATGAGCCTTCCATCTGTCCACCATGTTGAACCGCTTGTAATCTCAACAATCTCAGTCTCAACTATTAGAGTGCTACATAATTTCCTGCCTCTTTTGGAAAAACAAATAAATGAATAGTTGCTAAACAACTAAACTCTGTACTTTCTGAACAGTCTCTGAACATTGTGTCTGTTAGTCCTATGATTAGTACCAGAGCTGCAACCAGCGATTATTTTCATTATCAACTGATCTGCTGAGTATTTTCTTGATGGATTGATAAATAAAAAATAAATAATAAAAATAGAAAATATTGAAAAATACCAATTACAGTTTCCCCCAGAAAATATAAAGACTTTCAGTTTACTATCGAAAGAAGGTAAATTAAAGCGGCAGATCCTCACAACGTTGCTATTTATATATTTGATAGTCAATCAACTAATATATTCATTGACTAATTGTTTCAGCTATAATTTGCCCCAAATCGTAAAGTTCTTTCCAGGAAACTTATCAGGAAATTACTAAAACACCGCTGAACCTGTAAAATAAGTTGCCGCTCTTAAAGTTACTGCTTTTTCCTAATGAAATCTACTTTAAAGAGTGATGTAAACTATGAAAACAGTTTAACGTAATGACTCAGTAAGAGTGAGAAAGCAGTCAGTGTGAGACAGAGGCAGAGAGGAGACCATTTGTTCTCACACTGCCTCAGAGGATTACCACTAATCTGTGTTTGGGCCACAGTTAACCTGCAATACATTCTCCCATTGGTTCTGGTCTAATCTGGATGTCCACCATCCAGCAACCAGCCGTATCATTGGTCCTATATCGACCACTGTAGCTGACAGCAGTATGTGTGTGTGTGTTTAAAATTCATCACCTCAAAGCAGTCTCTTCTTTCTAAGAAGCAAAACACTGTTAGGAAGGGAATGTGCCTGCTTGTGCTGGTTCAAGACTCTCCAGGCTGTTATTGCTGCAGCATTAGAGCAGGATTAGATGAGTGTGTGGGAATCAGAACTGATGTGACGCACATGAGGAGACCAAACAGAGCAGCGTGTTATTAGAATCATTGCAGTGTCTTATAGGAAGCATGTAACATTTATTCACATTTGTACAGTAGAAATCAACCACTGAGAGAAGAGATCTACACATGAAAACTAATTTTGAACAAATTAAACAAAGGACAACCAAAAGAAAAGTGAGAGACAAAAACAGAACATCCTGGTCATTAAGCTGTAGTCATCAAGGGATTGTTTGAAACATAATCTTAAGAAATTGTTTTCCTGGAAAGAGTAATACATTCATTTGAAATTCTACAATAGAAATACTACAATATTCCCTTTTCTCACAATTTACAGAAAAGATTTTCCCAAGGGACAATCACAAAACCAATAATGTGACATTTTAAGTAAGTAAGGCGTTCTGAATGTAAATGCTTTATACGTAATGTGTGCCCTTTTTGTATTGATGAAAACTGTGAAGTCAACTTGAGTGAATAGGTCATCGCTGTGTGTGTGTGTGTGTGTGAGTGTGTGTGTGCACTCATTGTTATATGTTACTATGTTGTTTGTATACCAATGAATGTGTACAGTTTATAACAAAGAAGCAATGACTCACTACCCCACAGCAGCTGGCACCCACTAGACGTGTGTGTGTGTGTGTGTGAATGATTCAATTGCTGAAAGTTGATTCTGTAAAATAATTTAGTTTTAGCTGATTACTTTTTTTATTTTTGGGAATAAGGAGATGCTAAAACTGAAAATAATCAACTTAATGTGATTGGGGCTCAGCTGTGATACTCAATCTGTGTGTGACCTCCCCTGACCCAGATTATTGATTATTGATTGAGGAATTGTTAAAGGGTAAAAAAAGAACAGGCACAATTGTCTATTTTTGATCAATGTACTGAATTAAATATTTGACAAATCAAGGTATATAGCTATATAAATGATCAACTTCTCTCTTCCTGTTGCAAAATATTGTCCCGGTTTGCTCCTTTTCATTTATTCTTTTTAAATTATTTCACCCCTCTTCTCTGTAGCTCTATTGTGTGCGGGGGATGTGTTGGTGCTTTTGGCAGTCATTTGAGTGTTTTCACGTAAATGTTGAGTGAACAGAGAGCCTGGGTTATAGATGACAGGGAAGACTTTTCAATATTGTAGCAGGGTACATGGTGGTAGGATACTGCGGCTTCTCCTCTCATTTGGAGGATCCTTGTAGTGGCAGTTTGAGTGGAGGATGAGGAGGAATGAAGTGAGAGGAAGACCTGCAGTTAAAGCCATCTGTCTTCTGTAAAAGGCGTCCAAGTGGGAGAGAGGGACAGCTTCATACACAGTGGCAGGCAGGTAGACCAACAGATGGACTGACACACATAAAGGCCACGAGAGAGAGGAGGGTTTCCTTTGTTGCATTATAACAGCAAATATTGAAACAATACTCAGAGCTGTGACTCCCTATTGCTGCTGTATCCAGAGCAGCAGGTGTGGAGGATAAGCAAACATTATAATGTCTTTTCAGGCCTTTTCTGACAATCACATGGCAGCAGTGTGTATACAATGTGTATGTTAGAGAGCAGGTAACAGCAACAGATGAGTTACAGCTCATTTAAAGCAATTAGTTTAATTTTGTGAAATATTCTTATTAACTTTTGGAGAGTTTGATGAGAAGATCGAAACCGCTCTCATTGACCATTAGATATGAAGATACAGCTGCTTAGTTTAGCGTAGCATAAAGACTGGAAACAGAGAGAAACAGCTAGCCAAGCTAGTGATAACAAAATCCACCTATTCCCTAAAGCTCACTAATTAACGTCTAATATCTTTTTTGTTCAACCCATTTGTTGAAAAGTGTAAAAACAACAAATTATAGTTTTGCAGGGTTATGTGATGGACTATTTCTTGGCTGCAACAGTTGCCAGGCAACCAGCAAAGATGTCCTGGTCCCTGTGAAACCACAAACTGTTGTTTTTACACTTCAGTATTTGTACAGATTAAATAGATATAGTGTGTTAATTAGGGAGCTGTAGAGGTCACTGGTTGCCGGATTTCGTTATCTTTAGACAGAGCCAGGCTAGCTATTACTCCGGTTAGTCTTTATGCTAAGCTAAACTAACCGGCTACTGGCTCCAGCTTCATATTTAGCACACAGACATGAGAGTGATATCGATCTTCTCATCTAACTCATATTTGCCAAACGTTGATCTATTCCCTTAAAGCCCAAATGTATCTCCCAGATGTCCACCATGTACAATCAAAACAAATAAAATTAACATATAGCACAAGAACACAGTGGCAGTTACACATGATCCCCATGTTGAACATCTAATTGCTGAATTGGCTTGTTCTGGTTCAGCTCACAGTTTTGAGCGAAAGCAGCTCTGATAAACTCTCAGCTCATGACTCATGTATTTAGTCTGCCTCAGGCTTTGCTTCGGGTTCAAACAGAGGCCTCATCTATTTCTTATTTATGTCCATAACTGTTACTGAAGATTGTCTCCTTCAAGAATTTATCTTAGTGCTAAACTTTTTCAGTCTTTTTCATTATGAAAACATTTTGCAATTCTTCATCCAAATGCTTTAATTGCAACACTGTGACCAATCTGTATATGCCAACCTATTCCAACTTAAAGCAAGACAAGGTAATACATTCCTCTTATACAATGTACAATTGAAAACAACAGTATGTGTGTCTAACAACCCCTTGTTATTGTTGCCATAAACACACACACACATCATGCATCACAGAACGATAGCTGTCCAGTCAGCTGGTTGAAGGGCACACAGTGCCAGTGGTGAGTTGACGCTGATGTTGCATAAGCAGCTGAACACCCCTAAAGAAAACAGTGTTTGGTGCATAAAAACCCCCCATAAAAACATGTTGGCAGGCAGTCATCTGTACAGACACATGCTCTCATGCAAACACACACATTTCAGTCAATAACAGATGTTAAACACTTTAATTTGCATGGACACATACAGACAACTAACTAAGGGGAAAATGGACAGAAATTGTAATACTTTAATTTTATTTTTTGCCAAAGTAATAGACATGTTTTAAAAAAGAGAACATTATAAATGCCACAGTAGCTAGGCTTTTTAGTTTTCTCCTTGTTAGTGTTTCACAGCTGTTAAATTGTTCAGCAGTAATGTTTGGTGATTTCTTCATGCTGCTGCTGTTGAGGATGTGTCCATTATCTTTTTAATGACGATCATTAAAACATCAGTTAAAGCTGGTGAACAGTTTTTTTTTAACTCCCACAGTCAATGTCAAGTGTTTAGAAAATGTCACATTTGTTTTGATCATCACTTGTTATATGTGGTGCACTCACTGTGCTGTGTAGGTGCAATTTAAAGTTTGATTCCTGCTCATTGTGGTATTGTTTTATCAATAATTACACAAAATATTTTAGATGATCTGTATGAATGTAACAATAATACAGTGTAAATAGTATTCACAAAGCAAACAAAACATAATTTTTCATGTACAACAATTTCAAACTATAATACCTATATCACTTAAAAACCATTTCCTTACTGTGTTGGATGTACTCACAAAGATGATTCCTGTAGAAAAAGCACTGCAGCAAATCAAATGGACATTTAGCCTGGTGGGACCACAGCTGTTGTGTGAGGATTAGTTGTTATTCAGCATTGCACTGCGACCACACACATTTACACTTGCATACAGTAGTTTGCACAGATTTACAGTTTTCCAAGTCTTCCCAAAGCTCAGAATGTCGATTTATTATGACCGACCTATGTTTTTTTTGTCTTCTTGTCATTTGGTGATTTATATTGTAAATTACATTGTGTTTCAGTGTCTAATTTCTTAAATAGATTTATTTGTCTTTGCAGTATCTATACTCTGTGGAATTTTAGTGATTGAAGTCCTTCTTTATATATCTATTTTTATTTTAGTCTGTTTGCATTGTTGTTAGTTTTACTGACCATCTTCTTGCTGTCTCTGTTGTGTTACAGGGATTTCCTTCCCCGTGGCTCTGGCATTGTGACTCGTCGTCCTTTGGTTCTGCAGCTGATGAACTCTCCCACAGGTAAAAACATCTACCTGTAAACATCTATGGAAGCTGTTGTCCTCCAGGTTGTGGGATATTCTGAGTTTGCTGTTTCACTTTTCACTTAAGAAGCTTCATCCTGGAAAAGTTGCAAACATGTATTTTAAGAGAGAAGCTGTCGGTTTCTTCTCTAAAATTGATGAAAGATGTTTGGTTGAAGCCAACATTTAATAGGCATTACATGAATTGAGTTGTGTGGAAGAGGAACTTTTCCTCCTTCCTCCCTTTCCTCTCCATTCATCTCTAAAGACTTTGAGATGATGACGACAACATCATATTACCATGGTTACATTTCATTGGGTTGTTGCAGGGTCTGTTACCGAGCTTTCCTTATCACAGCTCATTCACGGTGTTAACTAGAAATTAATTAAACCTCATTTCATTTTAATACACAGTCATGGCTGCTGGATTACCTAATGGCAGTGGTTTTCAAACTGTGAGGAGGCTCACAGAGGCAGTTAAGGTGCTCCATTAGTGCGCAATTGCTGCAATTTATGTCAGAGATTCTGTGTGACTGACACTTCCTGATCATCTCATTATCTCCAGTAAAACGTCCATAAATCTTCTTAGAAATCATAGAAAAAAGATTTTCCTTATTACTCCAGAACTTGCCTGAGGCTGAGAGTGATCATTTTGAGCTTCCTTCAGTATCAAAGTAATCCAGTGATAGATGTCTGTGGGAACATTGGAAACAGAAATGGCTAATTGTTAATTTGGTATACTTATAACCCCAATTAACCAAAATTTAAACAAGTAAAGGCTAAAAAGGGCCCACTGCTAACTGCTTGACTCCATGGCAACATTATATTTCCTGTTTATAACCCCCAAATCTCCAAATTATGGGGATTGTAGTTCTGAATCATGATTACCTTTTTCATGTTGCACTATTAATATTTGTTCATATTACTAATGCTCAGAATGTCAGCCTTACAGACAAAAATAGAAAAGTGACCTTTTTGTCATAACTTTGTTTTGTATGGAATTCTTCATTGGCTTTAAATATCTTAGCTTAATATGGAATCTATTGGTTTGCTGCAACACAGTTGTAGTGTGTATTTACCTAATTTTGTGAGTGAAAAAGTTTGAAATTGAGCTCTATTCAGAATTTTCTTCTTTACTTTCTTCTCTACTGTCTTCTTTCCTGCTTCTTCTGATCTCCTTCCTTTCCTCTTCAATTTCACTTTGATTAATCTGTCTGTTTTTACTGTCTCTTCCAGAACATGCTGAGTTCCTCCACTGTAAGGGCAAAAAGTTCACAGATTTTGATGAGGTCCGGCAGGAGATCGAGGCTGAGACTGACCGCATCACTGGGGCCAACAAGGGCATCTCCCCTGTGCCCATCAACCTGCGGGTCTACTCCCCTCATGGTGAGTCTGCAGAACTGTATTTCTGCACAGATATTAGTGTGGGTTCCCTTGCATGCTCTTGTACAGCTGTCTGACTAGCAGTATAGAGTTAAAGTTATGCATGTCTGGTATCAATAAATTATGTACCACCTTTTCTTGTGGCAACTGCATATCTTAAGAAGCTCTCTTTACTTCGCTTAGCTTTCTCTTTGTTCTCCTGCCCCTTTTCGTCTTGCAGTGTTGAACCTGACCCTGGTGGATCTGCCAGGGATGACCAAGGTGCCGGTGGGCGACCAACCTGCTGACATCGAGGCCCAGATCAGAGAAATGCTGATGCAGTTTGTCACCAAGGAGAACTGCCTGATGCTGGCCGTCTCCCCGGCCAACTCTGATCTGGCCAACTCTGACGCTTTAAAGATTGCCAAAGAGGTCGACCCTCAGGGTGAGGGAATGCATTCTCTCTCTCTCTCTGTCTCT